TATATATATATATGTGTGTGTGTGTGTGTGTGTGTGTGTGTGTGTGTGTTCATCGGTTTGACACAAATAAATATGTCCATTTGAAAAAGATATTACACACCTGAGGCCTCAAGTATTGTCTGTGCAAATGTCCTTTGTGCCTGGGCCATCTCTTTTTTTGTCATCAAAAATGTCATTTCTGGTTTATTTGGGAATGCTTTCATTACTGCTTTGGCCATCTGAAATGAAAACAAAAAATAAAATTTAATTGAAAACATCTGCAAATGTTACACTTCCCATTTAAACAGTTTAACCTTTTAAGATTATTTTAACTTATCTTATCTAATTTTACAGAACAATATTATTGCTTTAATGTGGTACCATACCATGATGACCATTACTCAGCAGCTAGAACCATCCCGTTGAAATGGATGTGTCAGTACTCCTCCTCGAAGTCTCACATTCACCCAGTCTGTTTTGTTGTAGCATGTCCTTCTCATTTTGAAGTATTTACTGTGTGAACATAATGTACATGACATTTATATACAAATGAATGATAAAAGTCACACAGAAAAAGAACATTCTGTACTTTTTCATAAATCACATAGACACATATAATACATATCAATGTGTTTTTAATGGTGTGTCAGAAAGCCCTGTGCTCTAGATTATGTTACATGAAGTATCAAAAATAACATGTTCTTTTAAATCTACAAATGTTAACTGTGTCTCACTGCTTAAACACTGTCAGGGTATTTTTATTATTTAAAATTACATATGTGTGTAATTTTGAAGTAATTTTTTATAGAACTGATAACCATGGATTTTATTACAGTTTCATCTACAACCATATGTCCACCTATAGAAAAAGAGGTCCTCTGTCCTCCTGTCACTTTTCTAATGGCATTACAGAATACCAAATATTTTATGTTATTATATACATGTAATAACGCATAATTACCGGAATCTTTTGGCTGCACAGTCAGACTCTTCCTGCTCCAAAGAGTTTCTTGAAGGATCGACCAAATACAGACAGCTGTCATCTGCATTTATGTACTGCGATAGATATATAAATTTAAAAAGTACATAAATTATGAAGAATGTTTTATTGAAACTTTCACAGAAATGCTGCTCATACTAACCAGAAACTTCCAGTGTACAT